CCCCTCCCCATCAGTGCCAGGCCTGAGTGTCGGTCCCTGCTGCTGGAGGCCCCCCATCCCACTCTGCTCCCTACCCCACAGGAGATCGAGTTCATGTACAAGCCAGGGAACCTCAGCACGGCTCCCCCCATAGTCGCCCCGCACCAGCCCCGCCTCGACTGGCAGATGTGGTTCGCGGCCCTGGCGCACCACAGCAGCAGCCCCTGGTTCACCAGCTTCGTCTACCGCCTGCTGCAGGGCAAGAAGGATGGTGAGTGGGGCTGGGGGCCACTGGGCACGTAATGCTGGGCCTGGCACTGTGTGGTCTGGTGGAACAGGAGCAGAGGCAGCCCAGAGCCTCAGACCAAGCAGTCCTGCTGCATCAGGAACTCTGTCCTGCACAGTGGCAGGCCTGGAGGGAGCTGCCTGGGTGAGCAGGGTTTGCTGATCCCCTTGCCGGGAGCAGTAGGCTCGGCTGTGTTCTCCCTGGCTGGAGGGCTACCGCTGGCCAGTTGCAGTGGGTCTGCCTCTCCAGGGCTCGCTTGATGCCTTTCCTGGGGACCTAGGGGCTGGTCGCGGCTGCAGCCCTGCAGCAGTTTGGGGTGTCTCCCCGCAGCAGGGTGTCCGGGGTGGCATCCTGGAGCCCTAACGCTGTGTGTGTCCGGTAGTGATCCGCCTGGTGCAAGCTGACGAGTCGAAGTACCCGTTCAACTCTCAGCCGCCTGTCTACATCCGCGCCCAGCTCTACAAGTACTGGTTCACAGACAGCACGGAGGCGAGGTGAGCAGGGCCAGACCTGGCACGCGTGGCTCAGTGCCTTGCACCATGCTTGCAGCCTGGTGCCAGGAGGGGTTGTATTCCTCTGGTATCTGAAGCTGATGTGACAACGCATCAACATGCAGACAGTGCAGTCACTGGTGCTGGCTGTGCTCAAACAGCTGGAGTGTGACACCTGAATTTGTGAGCTGCCTCTCATCCAGCTAATGAGCTCATTAACTCAGTGTGCACCTGCAGATGGGCAGTAGCTCATCAGGCGACGTACCCTGAGCCCTCTGCTTTGGGGAGGCTGAGCTGATGCAGCTGGGCTGATGGTTGGGCTGCAGCAGGCCTGGGTGCGTGCTGTGTGGGGAGGGAGGCAGGAGACCCAGACTGGCCCCACGGGCAGAGCCTGTGTGGGGAGGAGGGCTCGGGGCTGCACCCAGGACTCTGCGCTGAGGTTACCTGTCCCTCAGGGAGGGGGCCGCGCCGTGGTGGCGGCGACAGCACGTGCAGGAGTTCTTCCCCACCGTGTCCCTGGGCGACCCCACGCT